AATAAAAATTTCTTTAGGTTTTTGTAATCCTGTGATATGAGTAAGGACTAAAGAAAGTTGTTTAAGGCCAGCAGATCTTTTCTCAATCTCGCTGAGGGTCCTACTTTCCCTCCATGCACAGACTTTCAAGTTCTGGCGACTGATTTTGGTGAGTTCTTTACTCAGAAGATTGCTGGAATAAAGTGCATGCTCTCAGACCCTACTCTCCGATCTTCATCCAGCAGCCTACCTGCTGAATTGGGTACTGATGCGTCATTTTCTGAATTCAAACTTTTATCGACAAATGATGTACAAGCAATTATTTCGTCGTCTGCTAAGAAGTCCTGTCTTCTTGATCCGATTTTAACTACATTACTTGTTGATCATCTCAGTAATGTACTCCTACCTACGATTACAAGAATGATTAACCTATCGCTGAGTACAGGTCATTTCCCTGACTCTTGGAAACTTGCGACAGTGCGACCACTTCTCAAGAAGGCTGGTCTTGATGTTGTTCTTAAGAACTACAGACCAGTGAGCAACCTACTGTACATCTCAACATGATAGTTGAGACTGTTGTTGCTAAGCAGCTGTAGAAGCACTTGTCTTTGAATAACCTGCTTCCAGTGTATCAATCGGCGTACCGCCTTCAGCACAGTGCTGAAACGTAACCGCTCTGCTAAAGGTTGTAAACGATATTCTACTCAATATGGATAAACAACGGGTGACTTTACTACTTCTCCTTGATCCGCTTAGTGCCGCTTTTGATACTGTGGATCATGGCATGCTGCTACCGGACGATTAGAAAACTCCTTTGGTATCCAAGGCAATGTCCTCTCATGGTTTCGATCTTACCTCTCTGGTCGTTCTCAGTGAATTTCGGTGCACGGTGCACTTTCAAGAAGATTCAGTTTGGATTGTGGTGTACCGCAGGGATCTTGTCTGGGCCCTCTTTTATTCACATTCTACACTAGTAGATTGTTTCCGATTGTTCAATCGCATTTGCCTGACGTTCACTGTTTTGCAGATGATACTCAATTATATATTTCTTTTTGTCCCCATGACGCTATTGATGAGTCTTCCACCCTAAATGCTTTGGAGTCCTTTGTTGATGATATTCGCTCATGGATGTTAACTGACAGTCTAAAGCTCAACAATTTTAAGTCTGAATTTTTGGTCATAGGAATTAACACCTCAGCAGTTGGCTAAAGTTAATACTCATTGTATACGGGTGGGGTGATTGCAGCGTCTCCGCAGTCTCCCCTGCTAGAAACCTCGGTTCTTGGTTTGACAAAAAATTATCAATGGCTACCCACATAACGAGATTGTCTAGCTCTTGTTTCTATTATCTCTATAATATTCGGCGTTTACGGAAGTACCTCTCTAGACGGTGCCCTGAGACTCTGGTGCATGCATTTGTGTCATCAAGGATTGACTTTTGTAGCAGTATTTTGTATGGTATTCCTCACTATCGTTTGAATAGGCTTCAAAGAATACAGAATGCTGCTGCTAGACTGGTTTGTCAGCAGAGTAGATACTGCCATATTACACCTTTACTTTTTGATTTACACTGGCTACCAGTTAAATTTCGAATTGTTTTTAAAATTCTTTTAATTACTTTTAACGTTCTTAAAGGTTTGGCACCGACATATCTAGCCTCTTTAATTTCCATGAAGTAACCTTCATGGTATAATCTTAGGAGTTCTCGTGATAACCTCCTCCTTAGTTATCCTAAAAAGTTGTCTAAAGTAACTGTTGGTGATCGCTCCTTCACGTATGCTGCGCCGAAACTTTGGAACGTGCTTCCTCTGGAAATTAGGTCTGAAAACACTGTTGCTGGCTTCAAGTCTAAACTTAAGACACATTTACTTCGTGCTGCGTTTTCATAGCCTGCCTAATATTAATTACTTTATTTATTTTATATGTTTATAGAATAATTAAAATTATTCTATATATTGTGATCCTAACCTATTTATTAGTGTTCTCTTAGTTCTAAACTGCTTAAATATTGATATGTTGTAATGCACATTTGAGCATATCCACATGGAATTTGCGCACTACAAATGCTGTATTATTATTATTATTATTATTATTATTATTATTGTTATTAATCCTGGATTCATTGCAGTAGCATTTTTAACTTTTTTCATACAAGTGACCCTGTATTTGAGCGACACTGCATTGTGCAATCATCTTGCATTAAGCGGTCGTTTCCCCCTTCTTTGCCTTTCTTTACACTCCATTTTAGCGGTCACCTCTACAGAAGTGGTCGCGGTTGCGGTCGCCTTTACTGAGTCCCTTCAGTCTGTTTTTATGGTCTTCAACCTGTAATGAACGGTCACTTAAAGCCAAACAACTTAATAAAACTAAGAATAATCTTTCAGGCAAAATTTTTTCTATGTTTATCTCCCAAAATAATTTTTAGTAGTATTTTTGAGCGAAAGTTTTCTATACATTAATATGTCAATCACGGAAAAAATCATTGTTTTTTTTTCGTTATTCATTATACCCCTATTCTATAGACCTGTATTGAGTTGTCAACCTGCATTAAGCGATTACGCCGCCATTCCCCGTGGATGAACGTATAATACAGGTTTGAATGTGGACATTTATTAGCCTTGCGCATACCGAAGCCCGGTAAAAACTACACTATCTAAGTATCACCTTAATTCTTTGTCAATTCCCACAGCACCTGAAGAAGGCTGGTTTGGCCAACCGAAATATAGTGCTCCGTTTTAAAACTTATCTATGTTGTATCGGTCTTGCTTCTATATTTGTATTCGTTATTTTGGGCCGATTAGATGGCCGCTGATCCAACGTACAAGAGTAGGATTATCGTCCACGATTGCATGCTGAACATTTCACACAAGTACGTTCCATTTCAGCGGTTTTCTCGAGTTCCATCTTCGATTCTCCTTGCCTGCGCGATTCAAGCGGGAAAACCTCTGATTACTGGAAGTAAAAATACGGCAAGATCCACGCGTCCAGTCGTCTCAGTTAGGTGCAGAGCGCGGACTCATTTCCCAAACGGTGGCTGATAATCGAGCACGATTCGTACCCAGATCTCTCTTTGTCCACAGGAGATATCTGAGAACGAAATTAAGTCGCGCTTTCAACCACCTAGTGCCAAAACTGTATGGAAACCTTTCAGGTATGCCGGGGCTTGGGGTTTTCCCTACTTTAGTTTCTTTTTTCCGATTTCCATGAACGTTTCAATTTTTTCCTCGTGTTTTCATGACAGCATTTGTTTTTTGTATTTTCCACTGAAATTTTAGGCTAANTACCTTTATTAGTACTGTATTTACACTTCTTCAATAGCTTTCTTAGATGAAGTGATAAAATCGATCAACGTTACGATCGTGACAAACTTTTTTTGAAATTGCTGAAATGAATATAACTTGAATAAAGAGGGTTAGTCTCTAGAGACACTGTGGTTGGTATTACAAGATAATTTGGTTTTATCAACTGAGTTGAGTAAAGAGTGACTTTTACCCCTTCGTCGGAGCGAATGATTCCTAGTTGCTTTCATGTTGCTCACTGATGTCCGTCGAAGGATCGCAAATCGGAAAGGCATCCCGTTTTAAAAAAGGTTCTTGCCAAACAAAAATTGTTAAGGCTTTTTCTTGTGTAAAGGTCTTTTCATTGATAGGGCTCACTAAGTAATTGGCTAAATCGTATAATGAAGCCAAAACCCAAATCGAATATTGGTCGAGACTCGGTTAACACTCGGACGACGAAGTCGTTCACGAGGGTACGACAACCAGTGGTGTTTTGAGTCTTCCCCATGCTTCTCCCGCATCATACCCCACTAAAATAAATATGTCACGAAGTTTACTTTCAAACAGTTACGAGCTTTTAAAATAATTGATTTGATATTTGAGGGGTTATGGTGGTATATATAAAACGATGTTTACAAAACACCTATTTTGACGGACAGAGTTTGATGAACGAAAAAGTATGAATCCAGATTGTACATTAATGAAATAAAATGTTTTTACGATTCTAAAGCTTTCCTTTTCAGTTCTTCTTCTCAAAAAGCCCAAGACAAAACAGATTGCTGGTCATGGCATTCCTTCTATTACTTTAATATTTCACATTTTTACAATAATGCTGTTTAATTTATTAATTTTTATTTTCTTACGTATACTGATTTTTTTTTTTTTTAGGGTAACAGTCAAAGTACAAGTAAGGGTTGTGTGATAGTTGTCACTTCAGACCAACCTCGTTCCCAGGGTCTTTTAAGGCCCTGGGAACGAGGTTGACTTCAGACGGTAAAATCGTAATTACTGTCACTTGAATTAATGGTGCTTTTATGAATGGCATTAATCATTTCTAAAAAGGACTTACTTTTTCGTTGTTCAATCATGAAGTGCTTGCTCAAAAGTCATTTCTGTCTCTGCCGCTTGAGCTCATTAATTGCACTGTTAGGGATGGCGACTTTATAAGTTTCTTTGTTGGATGTCTTTCTGGTGGAGTGCTTAATACAGAAGTCAAATCAGCCCACTTTGCTTACTATGTCTTATGATATGTCATTCTTTTGTTCCTCTGTTTTCGCTGAATTGATCACTGAATCATTAATAAAAGTTATTGGTGCAGATGTGTGTTGATCACAATTGGTGGGTTTTCCGATCCAAGTAGCTATAGTGTAATCGTCGATTTTACAATCAAACACAAAAGTTATAGGCATAATTCTATAGTTGTACTACACTATTGTAGATTTTTTAAATCAGCCACTTTCATAAATGGAGGTAGAGAGATGTGACAGAAGATAATTGCCTTGATTTTGTGAAGCTCATTATTTTTTTTTTCTTAAAAAATATGGTGAGTACCACAGCTACAACATCAAGATTGTAGTTATCACAGCTACAACATCAAGATTTTGATTGGAGAGCAATTTGTTTAATACCCAAAGAAGGCAAGTTCTTCTTTACTTGTACAATTTTGATGGAATATAAAGAGAGTATAGAAGTTTTGAAAAACTTGAGAAAGTACACGAAAAAACTACAGAATGATGAATATAATGCCCTTGTGGAATGAAAGGCCAAGAATTGTCAGAAAAGATATCGCACAACAATAACAAGCCTACCAATTGCATACAAAGCACAATACGTTTATTAATCCTTACATATTAAGCAACTAATATACAAGTAAATAAAAAACAATTCATCTAAATATAGACAAAGTATTCAAATTTACCACACATGCACAAATTTACCACACATGCAAACTCTCTTTGGTTATGAGAAAATTAAAATACAAGCCGATAGCCTTTCTTTTTTATCAGATTAAGGCGCAGTGGTCAACACCCCTTGGCCTTTAGATATTAATAACACAAGCCAGTACCATTTCTTGTCATCAAATGAATACTCAAATTAGCTCCCAGAAGTGATTAACGTGAAACTTCTCCCTATAATATCCCATACTATCTAGCAAACCCGCAATGAAGATACTCATACTCATCAGGTAGAAGTTTTTATCCTGATCCAACATCAAATGATCCTAACAAATTTACAAGGAAATGTGTAGCGGTTAAGATTAAGACAAGTAAACACTCTGGCTATAACAGCTAGCCTGAGAAAACTAATCACAGGAGCACATTAGGCACTCAAAATAAAGGGCCACAAGCGAAAAAAAAACACAAGCCAGAAAGCTGAATAACTATAATCTGTGGCTCTCACCAAGGTCTTAACAAAACTAGCAGACAAGATAAGTATTCAATCGTGGCTCATCACCACTTAATACAACGACAACTTCAAACTTATATTAAAAAGGATTGATGAGCAAAATGACTAATTGGACTCAACCTGAATAACCATAAGTATAAACTTACATAACTAACTACTGCGTTACATAACTAAGGAATAAAACCTCCCTTTATGAGGCTGATTTGTTCAAGTACTTTTTTATTTGTTTTGACACGTGCGGAAGTAAACGTGGCGGTCAGCCGCACCTGCCTCGAACTGTATTCCGTGAAATTACAAACAAACAAACACTTTCACAAAGCATTACGCAATTAAACTTGCAGACAATATAAACAGAAAAGTTTGCAGACTCACGGAAAATTAGCCAATGACAGCCCATTAGGAGCTTGCAGTGGCCTCGTCTTAGTCAACTACGACTATTGCTGTCCTCACGATAGACTCAGCAAACTAAGCGAATCTTCTATGTTGCTATGTAACGTCATATATGCAGTGGTGGTTAAACGACAGTTTATGGCAGAGAACAATGGAGTTATCCCCTCCTTCCTGTCTTACTCTAATCCCTCTTATGTCTTCTATAAAATCACCTTCACTTTTAATATCAATTAGTTTGTCATAACGTTGTATTTTTGAAGACAATCTGTTGCTTAACAGTGTTTGGTCTGCTGGGTAAATACGCCTATTAATCTAGAGAAAAACTTCTCCTGAACCAAAGAAAGCGCACATCTTGAATTCAATGCACTTCCGGTCTATGAAAATCCTTGGACACAAACAAAACCAGCATCTGCATTTAATCCGGATCCAAGGAAAGCAAATCCTGACGGGAAACCAACAGGATAACAACCTTTTAAATGTCAAGTAGACTTGGAGGGCGTTGAATTTACAGCTTAGGGATGGGCAGGTCCATATTTGGGAGAAGGCTCTCCATACGAATGGGCTGTCACACTTGCATGGATTTCCAATAGGCTGGCACCACCAAGGACCACTGCCACGATGAATGATACATCTGGGGATTGAAAAGAAACGCACATTGCTTTGCCATCTATTTTTGAGTAGAGAGAAAGGCTAAAACTGAACATGGTACTTTAAAGAGAGCTACAACTTTGAATATTTGTAATTTTGGGATGATTTAAACTTTAATGTGACCCAAAAATTCAGAAGATTTTGACACTAGTGTCTTTTTTCTTTAGCGACCTTTAAAATTTTTATAGCGATCACATTTTTTAAAAGTGGTCAAGTCTCACAGTTTTCTTCCATTCGTTCAGGAATTTTCGGGTTACGTCTCAGATCTCACGCGTTTAAATGTTGTTTATTAAGGCTTTTCAAAGCTGATTCCGTTTTCACTAGTTGCCCCTTTAACACATCCTTGTCTTCTGTTGGCTTAACGTATTGTTGCTTAAGCAATTCGAGTCGCACGTGCGTAGTTTGTTAAGAATCTAACTCGCTACGTATGATGCACGATCCTCGCAGTAGATAGCGCTATTTAAGCAGTAGCGAAAATCAGACCTGAAAAAAATCAGGCCTGTACGGGATTCGAACCACTAACCTCTGCGATACTAGTGCAGCGCTCTACCAATTGAGCTAACAAGCCCAATTGGGCTAACAAGTCCAATTGAGGATCATGCATCATACGTATCTCATACCGCAGTTCAAAATATATGAACTTCATATATTTCATTGTATCTGATTTATCCCTTTCACGGGTTTATTACGAATCAACTTAACGGCCTGCTCCCAGTTGGCTTGTTAGCTCAATTGGTAGAGCGCTGCACTAGTATCGCAGAGGTCAGTGGTTCGAGTCCCGTACAGGCCTGATTTTTTTCAGGTCTGATTTTCGCTATTGCTTAAATAGCGCTATCTACTGCGAGGATCGTGCATCATACGTA